GGGGGGGGGGGGGGTTGGGGGGAGGTTGACCAAAAGTCAGTCCCCTTTTTTGTGGTTAGTCTGCAGGTACTTAAACAGAGAGGGTTTTCCATTTTTTTCTCGAAAATAACCAAAAAATTGAGGTAGTTCTAGTATACTTGTTACTACAAAGTACATTGGTTTCAACAACTCAACCACCGACTGAGATGTTCAAAGCTCAGTTGACATCTCTAGCGAATCTTGAGAAACCTGCAAACAAGCACAATAGTGTAAAGGTAATTCTGGATTTGGGTTAATCTTCCTTTGAAGAGTTCACCCCATAAAAGAACTCCATAATAAGAGTCTGCAGTTTTGGATTGAGAAAGTAGAAATGAAAAAGTAAAAAAGAAACAGCTATGACTTTCTACTTACTGGTTCGCGTTTTCTGTCGGTATCAACTGGTTTCTGTTGCCAGCTAATGTACTGCAGTATGTCTATTTCCTCCGCTGAAACCAGCTCTTCAATGCTGGGGCCTCGTCCTTCTTCAAATTTCTCGTCCTGAACGATAACAAACAAGTTACAAATTATAAATATGATTTATGTGGTTCTTTAGCATTCTTGGACAAATGAACAATTTATTTACAAAACTTTTACAAACGGCGTGGGTCGTAGAACAGAACTTGGTTCCAATTTCTGAAACTTGGCACTTTGTTTTGAAGAAAAGAAAGGGCAATACGTTTTCGAAACAAAGGTCGAGTATTACCTTTTCCCTACGTTCAACGGCTACGAAACTTGTAAACTTTGACACCACTGAGAATTCCTTGCTTATGGAAATGATGTAATCTTTCCTGTTTCTCTTAACAACCTGTTAAAATAAAAGAAACAGTCAAGCAAAACTTGATTATGGCAGAGAGGTTTTAATTTAACAATGAAAATGATCTCAATTTACGATGCCATTGGTTCCATTGACAGTCCCATCATCACTGACCTCGTGTCCAGTGCGCTGCTCGTGCAGGCTCCCTTCGTCCCAGTCTCTTATGAGTGCTCTCGCGGTAAGTTGATGAAGAATCTGTTGAAAGGTCGCAAATCGGACTATTCATACCACATTTATGGACGAAATATTACAAGCAGGTTATTAGGGTTGGTGCAGTTGGTTGGTGGTTCACAGCCATCACATTCTATACATGGAATCTAACTCATTGTAATTTACAATCAGTAACACTGGTAAATTTTGAAATAGTAAATTAAGTAGTTTTACATGCATGTTACACCCGAAGAACCTAGTTAAGGTATACCAAATATTGGTGAATTGCAGACAATTATTTCAGTTGTTTGTTCAATTTAATTTTGTTATTGATGTATGCTGTATATAATATTTGAATTGGTCAGTCTTTATAGATCAAGTGCGTCAGTGTCTGCAAATTTCGGGCGCTCCCCTCACACTCAGTCTGTGACAAAAGCGTGGTTTCGTGCCTCAGTCCCGAAGTATATATGCGGGTTAGGTTAGTTGTTGTTCCCCGGCTTTGCCGTGACGGGTTTTACTTCGGCTTCTTCGGCTTTCCCTTCACAGCAGAAAACAAAATTTTCAGTTTCCAACTCTATCAAGGAATTAAAGGGTCTCAGGTCTTTTAACCAATGAACACCATTGTTCTAAAGGAAAAGTCGATTATGTTGCTATGTAGCCGTACTTACTTTGCCTGTTGTAATATTCAGATCAGAAGTATACACCATTGTTGACACAGTCTTCCCATTAACTTCTGCACTCAATGTCGCCTAGACGATCGAGAAAAAAGGGACTTTAAAGCAATTACGTCGATCTCCATATTACACTATCTCACCCTTGGAATCTTATTTACCATGTGCCATTACGTAATACGAAACCGATTTTCAAGGAAAAAGTTTAGTAAGTAATCTCACTCACAAGGCAGCAAGCCCACAATACCTTTTTTGTTAGTTCAAAAGACTCAAAGTTCAAAAAGACTGTATTTTAAATCTTTTTACAGCCCCCGTCCAGAAATGCTAATCCTCATGGGATCCTCATGGGACACCTTCATGGGATAGTTGTATATTTTCTAAGTTCAGCCACAAACACCAAACAAGACATCGTGATACTGAAAATAGTATCAAACTCATTGAATAATGATTTGTCAAAGTATCTGATTAAGAAGGTGATAATAACACAATTTATTCTGTTGATCCCCGTAAACGAGGACTCTGTTGTTTCAGTTTAGCCATAGGGAACCCACGCTCTTATGTGTAAACTATAAATGGTAATTTAATAAGAGATAAATTCTTACCTGTTTTGCTTCATTCTTGAATCTGCTGTGGTGCAAAGTGAAATGGAAGTTGTTTTACGATGAGAAAACTACGTTCAAGTCGACGCTTTAACCGTAAATTAATAACCGACAATGAAACGCGAGACGATAATAACAACCGGCGGGTGACCACATAAAGCATTGTGAAATCAACAACGGTTAACGACTTGAACATATTGTCTTCGTATCGTAAAACAACTTCCATTTCACTTCGCACCACAGCAGATTCAAGAATGAAACAAAACAGGTAAGATTTTATCTCTTATTTAATTTCCATTTGCAGTTTACAAATGAGAGCGTGGGTGCCTGTGGTTAAGCGACCCCCGAGGTAGCCTGCGTCGCAGATGTGATCTTACCCCGGCTAGCAACGTCTAGTAACGTCTGCGAAGCAGCAGCGCCAAGATTCTTGCTCTGGGCGCCCAACGGACTCAACGAATTACCGGAAGTGCGTTTCGATTTGCATGCCTTCAACCTGACTGGCAAATCGACAATGGCTTTTTTTTTTAGTTTCGTCTGTGGTGCAGGCCAACCCTCGAGGTAACTCACGAATATTTTTTCTCGTTTTTACGGTGGAACCTCGATATAACGAAATTCCAAGAGACTGGCACATTATGTTCGCTATAACAAGCTTTCGTTATATCGAGGTACTTTTCCCTATGTTTTACTATTACTGGGGTAAAGAAAATCGTTCGTTATACCAAAGGCTTCGTTATATAGTTCGTTATATCGAGGTTCCACTGTAATCAGGCGGACAGTTCTTCTTTTCTTGAGCCCATTTAACTTCTTTAACCATAACCAAAAACTAAGAACGTTGTAACCAACCAAGAACGTTATTTTCATGATATTGACAAGCCGTTAAATCAACTTACCTGTGTGCAATTGTCGACAAAACCATAAACTACTTGTCTGGAGCCATTGAATAAGGAGAGGATCTGATGCGGAGCCTGAACAGGAGGACTGGAACCGGAATCGTGTTGTTGCCAGGAAACTGCTACTGACGTAAGGCCCGGTTGCTTAGCTTTGGATAACTGCGATTTTACCTAAATTTGAATTGACATTCGAGATTTAGATACATAACAGATCATTTTTATATCTATTACGTAAAGAGACGTTGGTACTGAGAGCAATTCGTAGTAGCGTGAGTTTTGCGAATTTAAACTTTGACATTGATTAAATAGAGAAACCAACAAACAGAATAACTTGTTAAACAGACCAGCGAAAGAACAGCTTACTAAAACTAAAGTAAAAAGAACGAAGGCTTGCTAATTATGCAAACAGGGTTGGGCGCCAAGAACCTTCAAAATCGTCCAGATGTACTTGTAATTTGGCACCCGAAAAACAACAAAACAAGTAGAGCTGCCAAATTGGATAAAATACACAAGTTGCTCTTACCTTTCTCTCCCATTTGGACTTGACTTTGCTGTCAAAAAACTCCGACGCTCCAGCTCCAGCTTTCGACATGGCTCGCAGATAATATCTGTTGGCTGTTG